AACCAAGAAACAACGAACTACACCAAACACCACAGGCAAGTGCCGAGACTAAGAAGAAGAACAGTGAGATGAAAAGAACGGAGATTCACGAGCAGCAAAACGGTACGCGAAACAAACAGACAGATAAGCTGACAAGAGAGGCACCACCAAGGATGGAGCAAGAACAGGAGAGCACAGCAACTCACGCGCCTCGCGAAGCAGCGAAAGAATCAGAGCGAGAAAAACGAGCGAAACAGGAACGCACCACACGGGCCCCCGCCCCCACCAAGCAAAAGACACTAACAAGACAGCCCAACAAACAGACCCACACCATAACGCACGGCACGGCCAAAGTCCGCAAAACGCAACACAAGCGCCAGAACGTCCCGCAGCGGAAACGAACAGCCGGAACACAGCAAGAAGCGAACAAACACGACCACCGAAGAAAAAACCCAAACCGCACCAACCCGCACCAACCACGCAGGTTAGAAGCGCGCACACCGCGCAAACGCATCTGCGCAGCCGGGGCGCAGCCGAAAACGCAACTAACGACAACGCCAAAACACCATAACCCTCAAGCCCCCGACAAGAACCACCCACCCCCACCGAAGCGCGACCGAGACCAGGAAACGACAACAACAACAAAGCACCAAGCACCCCCGACGAAACACGGTAACAAAGCAGAGAGTGAGCAAAGCAGCCCGCCCCCAACGCAATGCGCAACCAAACCGCCCACCCGGCCAGCCTCGCCACACCACGCGACGCGAAAACGAAGACGATAGAAAAAGAGACGAACGACGCGACAAAAGAGAGGTAGCGAAACAGCCAACACGCAGGTCCCGCGGCCCCGGAGGGCCCGCTGAACCGCAGCAGACGCAGCAAGAAAGAACAACCCCAAAGCACAAGCAACTACGCACGAAGAGGCCGACCACAAAGTTACCACGAAAGCCCACGTCGTACAAACACGGCCCCCACAGACCACCGCATCACAACGAGCAGCACGACACCCCCACCACCAACCGAAGAAAGGTTCGCGCACACGCTCACAGGGGCACAGCACGACAGACTCGCGGACGAAGCGAACACACCGGCACCCCGGCCTCGCGGCCCCCCTCCTCCCGACGCCTCACCACCCACCACAACAGCGGCACGACCCGGGACGACAACACGTCCACGCACAAGAAACCACACAGAAAAAAAAGACAGCACAGAGCGCCCAGCCGAGAGAAACAAAACACAGAGAAACAACAGCATCGTCAGCAAAAGTTTCTACACAACACAGCGGGAAGAAAACACAGAGTCCAACGAGAGCGCAGCAGACGAATCCATCAGACCGGCCCCCAGCCACCAACAAAAAGAAGACGCAGCGTCCCCGCGAACCCGCCAACCAACCACGGAGGAAAGCCGAACAGCGCGGACACGACATAGAAAAGACACAGCCAAGAAACAACGCACCACACTCAGACGCGCCCGCGACCCCAACAAAAACACGCGTTACGTCGCCTCCCGCGCCTCCGCCCCGCTCGCCACAGCCACCAGGCATCGCGAAACAACAGACCAAAAGTCCACAGCAGACAACACAAAAGCACACTCAAACAAGAAAACCACCAAAGACCAATAAACCAGCCGCCCCAGCACACAAAGCCCTCCCGCACAGCCCCAAAGAGCCCACCAACACTATCACAAGAAGGCCAGGACACACACAAAACCGAGCACGCACGCGCCAGCCCGAGCCCAGACAGCCCGCCGCCTCCCATCGAACAACTCATAACACCCCAACTCCACCAGCCGACACCGCCACAGCCAACGCGCCCCCCGTGCCGGCCTCCCCCGCAGCGCACGGACCCAGCCCCGCCCCTCACTTCCCTCGCCGCCCCAAACCGCACCCCCGGTGGCCCACCCCAGAACGACCCACCGTCCCACACGCAAACGGACCCCCGCGGAGAGACACTCACCGCAGCCCCCACCCCCTCCCGTCCGGTGCCGCCCCCGCCCGGCCCAAACGCCGCAGGCCGACACCATTGCACGCCCGGCCCCGCAGCAACAAGCCGTCGCGCCCTCCAAAGTTACACACCACAGCCTGTTGAGCGCCCAGAGACCCCCACCCAAAGGAATAAGGCGCGAAAAAACTTCGCCGCACCGTCCTAAGCCCCCCCACACCTCCCCAACCACCATGGCATCCCCATCACAGACAGCAGCGCGCTAGCCGCACAAGGTCACCGCCGACACCGACCCCCACCGCAGCGCCGCCCGCAAACACCGCCGCTCAGACCCGCCGAGACAAACAACGCTCAGCAAACCGCGAAACAAATCCCACGACCGCCCCCGACCGGAGCAATACGCCCGACGGCTACACCCGGGGCGCAGAAAGCCAAGTCACACCAAAGGAGAAGAAGGCAAAAACTGACAAAAAAAGAAACAAGAGTAGCACGCGAAAAACACGCCAGGCCCCCACGCCGACACAAACAAACCCGACCCCACGCGCGAGCTGAGAGACAGTTACCCGCCCCGGAAGAAAACCCCCCTCGACCCGACCGGAAACAACGTAACACCAGCGCCCGTCGTCCGCCACACCAAACAAAACGCGCACCGACAAGACCACGGTTACTACCCCGACCGGCGAGACCCCCCCGCCCGGCGCCCCGCCGCACCCTCTGTTCCCCCCGTCCCCCTGCAAACGCACAAAAGAAAGAACAGAGGCGCGACAAGACCCGCACGCAGGAGTCGCGCGTCAGCGCCCGGCCCCGCACCACGCGAACAAGCACAGACGACCCCACGGCCCGAGAGCGCAAAAAAAGCGGACCAACGGACGACCACGGCACGAGAACACACACAAACCCCGTAACGGAAAGAGACACAGAACAACACGCCAGAAAAGAAACACCCCCCCCCGCCCCCCAAACAAACTCAACAACCCCGGTACGCCACACCGCCCGCCCCGAACCCCCCCCCCCCCGCGTCCGAAGAACAGCGGCGCGCACGACCGACACCACAGCCGCCACAGCCACCCGCGGGGGACCCCCCGCGCCGCGCACGACCGCCGCGCCGGCCACAGCAAAGACAGGTTAGGCCGCCCCTGCCGAAATAACACAACAGGCAAAACACGAGAAAAAAAAACGCCGCCGCGCCACACGCCCACCGAATCCCGCACACCCGGCATCGATCAGGCGCGCACTCGCCGCCCTCACACCCCGGAAAAAAGCACCCCCAGCCGCGCCCCCGGCCCCGGGACGCTCCCCCCCGGGCGCCCCAACCAGTCACCCCCCCGCCCTCCGAGACAACCAAAAAACACACACAGCACAAGCTCTAAAACCAGTAAAACACAAGAACGACACCAGACAAAAAGAAAACCCGCACGTCCCCTAGCGCGAAATAACGCTAGGTAAACGAAAAAAAAACAAAAAAGCAAACAACCCGCGCGCCCGAGAACAGATTCAAGGCCCACGACCCCAGCCCACACCAAGCCGCACCAACTCCCGCACCAGAGCCGATACGAATAACACCAAGGAACGCAAAAAGAAACGACATGGAACACCCCACAAAAAGACAATAACAAACCAAAGGTCGAGCCGGGCACCCGAACGAAAACCGCGTGCCCCACCAGCCAGCCCCCCCGCGCGTCCCCACCCCCCCCGCCTCCCCGGCCGCGCCCAATGCCCCGGCCCCCTCCCAGGCGCCGCATAGCAACCGCACTACCGAAGAAGAAACATACAGTACCGCCGCCCAACGCAAGAACCGCGCCGGCAACGGCACAGACGAAAGACCACAAGCCAACAAACCGCCCGCCCGCCGTCGCCCATAGGTCCACCAGTCCACCCGCGCGCTCGCCCGCCCGGAACCACCCCCCCCGCGCCGCCAGACAGAAAACAGTAAAGGCAAAAAAAGAACGATAACAGAAGCCGCAACGGACGAGACGAGCGAAGCCCCGGACCGCGCACGAAACCCACACCGCCAACCACAAACCGGCCCGCCCCCCCCGCGTACGCCCCCCGCCCCACCCCCCCCCTCCTAAACCGGCCCCCCCGGCACCCCGTCCCACACCCCGCACCCCGGCGCCCACCCCAGCCCCGCCCCGCGCAGGCCAGCGACGCACCAACCACACCAGCAGGAACCAAACCAAAAGACCGCCCCCCCCGACCCCCCCCGCCACCCCGGCCGTCTCCCGCAGCGAGCCCCAGCCTCCCCCCCGCACAGCAGCCCCACTGCACCCACACCCTCCCACGGCCGCTCAGCAACGAGCCTCGCCCCCGGGTTCAAACCGAGAAAACCACACCCCGCCCACCTCGGCCAGCCGCCGCCAGAAGCCCCCACCCCCCTGACCCCTGACCCCCCCCCCGCCGACAAGATACGCCGAACCACCCACAGTCGGACCCACGGCGCCCCCGAGAGCGCCGCAGACCCCCGGACCCCTCCCCCCCCAACAACACAACGAACTACGCCCCCCGAAACACCCCGGAGAAGAGAGAAAGGGAATAACCCGCAGCGCCCCGCCCCCCCGCAGATCCCTCCGGCTTCCTCCCCCCCCCGGAGTCCGCACCCAGGCCGGCCCCCCGCCCCCCCCCGCACGACGCCGAAAAGACGAGCAGCCCGCTCACACCCCCCGACGCTCCGACCAAACCACGAGCCCTCAGCCCCCAGCGCCGCCGCCTACGTCCCTACCGTCCGTCGCAGCTCCCCCCACGCCCCCCCAGCGCGTCCGCCTGCCGCGCCACCACGCCTGCGGCCGGCGCACTACACGACCGCCCCGACCGGTCCCGCGCCGCCACCGCAGCAGAAGAGGCGACAAGCGGCAAAGGGCCCCGCCCAGACGGACCCCACCCCTCGACGCAGGCGAGCGTCCGACAATACACCCACCCCCCCACCGCCCGAAGAAGATCTCCAGACAGCGCAGCCCCCGCGCACCGACTCGTAACACACCGGGAACAAGCGCCCCGTGCACCCCCACACGACACAGACCACCGCACGCCCTCGTTCCCCGCCCACGCCCTACCGAGGCGCACCTTACCCCGCCGCATCCGACGCCCAACCGCCCGCGACCCCGCACCACGGCGCCGCCCCACCCGGCGGCCCCCGTCGTCCCCCCCCCACCCCACCCCCGCCCCCGCGCCACAGAGAAGCCCCCCCCCCCCACCCTACCGCCGCCCGCTGCGTCCCCCCAACAATACAAGGCCGCGCCGGCAAAGCGCCCACCCAGCGCGCCTCACACCCCCCTCGGAACGGACAACCTCGCCACATCCCACCCCCCCAGCACAGCCCCGACACCCCAAAACGAACGCACTCCGCGGCCCCTCCCCCCGAGTCCCCCCCACGGCTCAGCCAACACACACGCACGGGACACCAGAACACCGAGCCGTCCCGCCTCACCATCCACAACAAAACCACCACCGCGGCCCGCACCAGGCCCGAGAACAACCTCAACCCCCAACCCACGATGACAGTCCCGCAGTTTTCCCACTGCGCCGCACCCCTCGTCCCGGACCCGACCCCACGCAGCCGGCGCACGCAGCAACGGCCGTAGGCTCACCGCGGACGGGGCGCCCCCAGAACAAAAGAAAAACGACCGGCCGCCTGTAGACCCCCCCGCACTCGCCCCGCGGAGCGGCAACACCGGTTCCGCCCCCAACGAACAGGCCCCGGTCGCCCCAACGACCGCCCTCACCCGGTTCCCCGGGCCTTCACCCGGCCCCGGCGACCGCCCCCCCCGCCAGCCCAAACACAAGAAAGCACCCATCGATTACGCCCCCCAGGCACGACACGCCAACCGGCACCCAGCGCGGAGACCCCAGTCCCCCACCGGCCACCCCCCGCCGGAGCGGACCAACCGACACGGAGCACGCCAACGAGCTCGCAACACACGGCGCACACACCACCGCCGCCCTCGCCGATCAAGCACGCCGCACCGGCCCACCCCCGCCAGCCAGCCCCCCCAATCACCGTAACGCCCCCGTTCGCGGCCGCCTGCATACCACGACCACGCACGCACCCCGAGCACAGCCCGCTCGCCCCCACAAGGGAGCCACGGCCTGCGACACCAGGACCCAGCCCACCCGCCTCGCCCCGCTGGCACCCCCGCACGCACCCGCACACCACCCCGGCCGCGTACTGATAAGAAAATTCCAGACCCAATCCCCCCGGCACGACCCGAGGCCCCCAGCGCGCACCCCCGCCGCCGTCGCCAACGTCCCCCCCGCAAGCCCGCCCGCCGAACAACCGTCACGTACGACCAGAGGACACCCGCAGAACCCACGTCGCGCCCACCAGCACTCCTCGAGCGCGCACGACCGCACACCCCCCCTCACCACCCAACAGACCCCCGTCCGCGCACACTCTCAGCACCGCAACGCCCCGCGGACCGCCCCCCCGTGCCCAGCCGCACCACCCGTCAGCAGGGGTAGCCGCGGCCCTGAGGGTCCGCATGAGCCGATCGCACAGCCGCGAAGACGTGTACGACAGCCCGCCGCTCCCGCCGGTCCCGCTCGCGCGCCCGCCCCCCCAGAACGGAACGACACAACGTGCCTGAGGCGCGCCCCACAGCACCCCCCCCCACCCGGTTCGCGCCCCCCCCCCCGGCCCGGCGTCATCACCGCCCACCCCGTCTTCCCACCAACTCGCCCCTAGCCATGTTTTCGCCTCCAGCACACAGCAGTCCCCTCCGCTGCCCCTCCCCCGCTCCCCTCCCTCATACACTCCCCCTCGCTTCCCCCCCCCCGCCCCCCTCCCCCTATCCCCCCCCCCCCCCTACGCGCCCCCCCCCCCCCCTCCCCCCTCCTGACCCTCCCACATCCCGCCGTTTAGGTTCCCCCACCCCCCCCCTCCTCTCCCCCCTCCCCACTCCACCTGGCGCCACCCCCCCCATTCCCACTCTCGCGCCCTCCCTCCGCGCCCCCCGCCGCCACCTTTGCCTACGTCCCCCCCAGCCCCCCCCCCGTACACCCCCCCGGACCCCGCCGCCCCCCTTCGCCGCAGCGCCCGCGCGTCCCCCCCCCCGCGCCTGGCCCCACCGCTCCCGGAGTCCCACTCCTCCTCACCAGCGGCCCGACCCAGCACCCCGGCAGCCCCCCCCTTCCCTCCGCCCCCCTTAGTTTAACTTCCTCTTCTCTCCCCTCCCTTTTCCTTCCCCCCTCTCTTTCCTCCCTTTTCTCTCCCCTCCCCCCCCTCCTTTCTCTCTTCTTCCCTTTAACCCCCCCTTCTACCCCCCCTTTCCTCTCCCTCCCTCCCTCTCCCTTCCCCCCCCTACCCCCTCCCTACCCCCCCCTCCACCTCTACCCCCCCTCCCCTTCCACCCCTCCCCCTCCTCTTCTCCCCTCCCCCTGTGCTTTGTCATTGTCCCCGTAGCGAAACTTGTCCTCAGCATTTGACCTATCCTTCATTGCCCATTAGGGTCTCTGTCAGGTGCAGTGGTTACAGGAGCCTATCTCTAGAAGTTTAGACCAGGTCTGAACCAGGAGCGAACCAAGTCTGAAATTATTTTTAAATAAAATAATCTTGAAATCTCAAACATTACATAGTTTTCAGATGTATTTGTGGCCTCTGTCACACCTTTAGATCATCTTTTTCAGACAGACGAAAAAGAGAGCACCCTCAGGTGTGATCTGAACCAGGTCTAATGAATGACATAACCACAAAATCTGGTCTAAACCTCGGACTGAATTTTCTTTCAAAATAGAGCTCAAAAGGTCTGTAATAGGACGAAACCGTGTGAAATACTAGGACTAAACCAGGGCTAAACCAGGACTGAATCAGAACCAAACCTGATCTAAATCTAGACTAGATCCCCACCTGACTTTGCTGAGATCGAACTAAACTCTACGAATCCAAACCTTGTTTAAAGTTATTGAAAATTGAGAAGTAATGAGCGGTAATTGTACAGAGTGTTGCTGTAGTAACGGCCCGTTCCTGGTGTCAGGGTGTAGTCCTGCAGCAGTGCGGTGTTTCCCCCGTCCTGGACCTCGTCAATGTTTGAAGCCGAGGTATTTTTAGCCCGGCGCTGTTATGCAAGCGGCACCTGTCATGTGATCTCTACAGGGAACGAGACGAGAGGAGGGGAGGGAGGGGGGAGAGGAGAGGAGAGAGAAAAACCAGTTGGAACCTATTCCATCATTATGCATGTTCAGGCGGCACGATTTTGGCAAAGTACGTATAAGGAATATATCTGTCCAACATTGTGATTTTATTCAATTGAGGATCAATTATGAGTTCTTGAGAGTATATTAATGCTGTGGTATCTAACTTTAAAACCACCAAAAACAAAATTAAGTGATGAAATCCATGTAACTACAGTCGTCACTCGCTCTCAAAACTAGGAAAGTGTTCATGTTCTGCTCCAACTCACTCTGTTTCCTATTGACTTACATGGTAAAGGTAACTCCTCTGGCCTAGTAACCGTTTGTGCTTCCGCCTTATCTGGGTAAGCCATTGTGCTTCTCTGCAAGAAGGTCTTGGGTTTGATTCCACCAGATAGGGCCTTTCTGTGTGGAGTTTGCATGTTCTCCCTATGTCTGTGTAAGGTTCCTCCAGGTGCTCCAGATTCCCCTACCACTAAAAACATTGTTAACAGTTCAGGATGGATGAGTGTGTGTGAGTGTGACTCAAAGCTATGTTCCAGAGAGGTGTGTTCATTAGAATGCACTGTCCTGGCCAAATAAACAAATGAATGAAATAAATAAATTAATAAGGACAGATCCCTTCATTCACGAGGGAAGCTCCATCTTGCCTTAGCAACCTCCCATGTTACGACGGAAAGCTCACGTCACAGAAGAAATGTCCGTATAAGGACATAGGCTCCAATTCACTCTCTTCCACGTTAAAACTATACTAACACACTAATGTGAATGTAATGTCACACTCGGTCAGTCCACTTCTAATATACAGTCTATTGCCATAACCCAAAAGAAAAATGTTACTTGGGATTTGTTTACAGAAAGACCACAACAAAGTAATCGACAACTGTGAAGTGGGCCCAAATATGACTATATACACTTTTCCCCATCTCCCCCACCTCTATCGTGTTGCTGGGTTAATCTCTTGAGAATGTTCATATTGCGTTTGCACGGTCGTCTTGGTGACCGTGCGGGGTCTTTATCCTTGAACCTGAAGCCGCTTACATAAGACCTCACATTCCTCTGTACAGTATGGCTCACTGTACCTTCACTAATCCTGGATTAGCCCATTCAAGCCTGTCCCCCGCGCCACCACTTTAAACAGGCCAAGTCACACTTCACTCTTACTGGGTAAAGCTGGGGTACCTTTATTAGTGTTGCATAAACAGTACATGTTTGTCCCAACAGGAAGAGCCTTTAAAAGTTACATTTCGTGAGCAAATGGCTGGCCGAGTGGATAGCACCCCCGCTTGCAGCAAGACTGTCTTGGGTTCAAATCCCTTTCGGTCTTTCGGGCGGCACGGTGGCTGAGTGGATAGCACTCTCGCCTCTCAGCAAGAAGGTCCTGGGTTCGAATCCCGGCCGGACCAGGGCCTTTCTGAGTGGAGTTTGCATGTTCTCCCCGTGCCTGCGTAGGTTTCCTCCGGGTACTCCGGTTTCCCCTACCACTAAAAATATGTACAATAGGTCTGGCATGCGCCTCCTGTACTGGCGACTCTGCTCCCATCTCTGTGTGGAGTGAGAGGACAAGTGCCCAAAAAATAACAATCGTAAACCGCTTTGTGACTCTGGTCTGTGAAAGGCGGTATATAAATAAAGCTTACTTACTACTTACTTACTTACTTCTGTGTGGAGTTTGCCTGTTCTCCCCGTGTCTGCGTAGGTTTCCGCCGGGTGCTCCCATTTCCCCTACCACTAAACAATATCCACAAAAAGGTGCAAAGCTTTAGTAGTCCTGACCAAGCTGAGCATTAACATTTGGAGATGGGTCCCCGGGCGCTTTACAACGGTGGCCAATCCCCTGGCAGATGCCCTAGCTAGTGGCATCAGAATGGGTCAAATGTAGGGGATTTTTACAATTCAGACAACATCTTATAAGAAAATCAACTGCATTCTTGTAAGAAAGGGCCCTGTGAGTCACTATTTGACCCTTTGGGCTGATTTGTTGAGTATAGGTGGTCCTCTTTCTTCTGTCTGAAAATTGTGATACTAGTGATAAAAGAAAACACATGGGTCGGCAAATCACTGCTCTTAGTGCCCCTGGAGTTGCTCGTGGAGCAAATATCTCAAATATCTGAAAACTGTGGGCAGGGATATTTTATTTATAGTTTTAATGTAGTTTCTGTAGGAAGACAAACATTCTTAACGTTTTCCAATGCTGTGAAAATCTGCACAAGAAATATTCAATTTCTGTCAACATTGATTTGCGTCATTGCCTGCGATGCTGCCCCACACGAGGCAGCCGTTGTTTGACAGATTTACTTTTTTGATCCCCGTAGGAAAAAATCAGGTGTTCAGTAGCAGCAGAAACACATCCATCCACACAAACAAAACAAATAAATTGATCACTCTAAATAGCTAACAATAGTAGTAATAAAAAACAGCAAGTTCTGCTTCAGCTGAAGTTTTGTTGCAACCGAAGGAATAATAAAGCACAAAACACATGAAGGGTGATTACATGAAGGATTAATTCATGGCAATATCAGAGCATTTTCAGACTTCAAAAACCATCGATACATCTTTAAGTTTTTGCTTTAAGTTTTAGTATTCATGCATGCCTACAATACTCATTGCAGACAATACAAGGGAGTTTCTCAATGGAAGGCTTTCGTTTCCACGGCAACACAATCTTCCCATTCCGTAATGGTTCCGGAACTTTATGACATCATCGATCTGATCTGGCCTTAAGTCTGTGTGTGTGAGCATGATCCAGATTCAGCTACAGGTTTTAGAAAGACGAGACACGGTTTATTGATCTAGCTTCTAAAGCATAGCAACATTAGTAATTTTAACTCAACAAACTCAGTATTGTTAAAATGGCTGCGACTAACAATCACAAAATGTATTGGAGGAAGAAGATCGACGTTGGCTACAAAAACGAGATCTGTGAGGTGTTTGAGCTAGCTGCCAAACATTATTTTGAAGCTAAGTATGTTTATGAAGAACAAGAAGGCCCCATTCATGATGCAATCTTCACAGTTATCCTGAAGGTTGATGTGTTCGAAGGACAAGGAAAAGGTCCGACCAAATACGCGGCCAAATTAGATGCAGCACAGCAGATTCTACCAGATCTGCGTCTTCTTCCCCTTCCTGAAAACCCAAATCAAAAGAGGGAGAGGAAACGTGGTCGTGCCTTGTGTGAGAGGACAAAGACCACAGCAGAAAAGCCATCCGTGCAGGTCCTGAGTGAACTGGTGACCAAATTGAGAGGAAAGCCTGAAGAGTACACCTTAGTGGATGTCAACAAAGACACGGATCCATGTGTTTTCACAATGAAACTCGTGGTGGCAGAGGAGACAGTGTTCGCGCGCGGAGAAAACAAAAAAGACGCCAAACGAATTGCAGCAGCCAAAATGCTCAATGTCTTTGGATACAAATACAGCTTTTCTGAGCCAGAGCTAGTACTTGTCCAACAAGTTGCTGAAGGACTCTCCAACCAGCAAGAAGTGGAGATCCAGCGCCCTGTGGAAGAAATTGTGGCTCCTCTGCCCATGATGGAGGTAACACAAATGAAACAGTTGTGTGAAACATCTGAACTGCCAGACAAACAAACCCTGTCTGTGACTGTGGAGGATGGAAATGACATTGGTGAAAGTGTGAAACTTGAGGAGGTTTCCCCTAATCAGGAGTTTGTGGATGTTAGCAGCTTGTCTGAGAACACAATGGAAGAAACTCAGATTTGCACACCAGCAGAAATTCAACAGGAAATGGTTGAATTAAATGTAGTTGAGGATGTAATTCAAGCAGAGGAACCATCGCTGCAAGAACCAGAGGCAGAAGTTGAGATACTGTCTTCATATGACAGTGAAATTCCTGCGCCAATTGAACAGGAATGCTCATCTGAACTTCTCCTGGAACCTGCACTGAAAGAAGAAGTCAATATCCTCAATGTCAACCAGGAGGCTACAATTGAAGAGAAAAATCCCCAAGTAAACGTTAATTGTTTGCCTGATGACATCCTCTCCATATTGGCCAACATGGGAGTGATTACAGAAAACAATGGAACTTTGGATTGGGCTGATAATACCACAAGTGAAGAGAGACAGACTATACCCACAGAAATCCAGAACAGTGACAAGTCGGTGACTGCGGAAGAAGGCTGCTCTGAAGAGTCATGTGAAAACCTGATCTCAGACAGAGCAGAGGACCAGGAGGATCTCAGTCCAATAGATCCACCCTGTCCAGAAGAAACCCGCATTTGCATGGAGGAAGAAAACATATATGC